GGCACTCACTCTAGCCTGGGCAACAAAGCGAGACTCTGTCCCAGCTAATTTTTTCTATTTTTAGTAGAGACGGGGTCTCACTCTTGCTCAGGCTGGTCTTGAACTTCTGAGCTCAAGCAATCCTCCTCCCACTTCAGCCTCCCAGAGTGTTGGGATTACAAACATGAGCCACAGGGCCCAGCCCCTCATAGTTTTTTAATTTACTTCCAACTTCTGTTCATCCTACCTTTTGCCCTATTCTCCCTTCCTCAGGGGTTACATTTTCTCTCTTCATGAATGTTATTTGTTTTCCTTTCCTTTCTTGCATAAAGATAACAGTACATTCTTTTGCCTAATAATACCATATATTCTCACTCCTTTTCCTTTGGATAAAATTAATACTTATTTATTCACTGCTAAAATATCTAATTTCTTCAACTGCTTGCTCTAAAAATAATTAGAATGTAATTAGGATCAGTTGTTATTAATTATATACACAAATGACATACAGAATATCTGGACTAGATATTTTGATAATATGTAAGAAAAAGAGTCAAAAGCCTGGATTTTACTTCCAACTGCATCTTTTACTCATTGTGCACAACCTTTCTGAGCCTTAATTTCCCCATCTATAAACAAAGATAATGACATTTGCACTTTGCTTTCTTCAGAGGTATGAAGCTCCAAAGAGATAAAATATATGAAAGCATTTTGAAGTCTTCAAAAGACACACAAATGTAAACCATTATTGTTGATCATTTTATCTTGACAAATCTTCCCTTTTTAAAAACACAGCTTACCAACTTTACTGTCATAGCCGTTTGAGGGAAGGAGGAGGAACAAGAAGAAGAAGAAAAAAAAACTTCACTGTCAAAACCCTCCTCCTTACTTTTTCCCCTAGTTACTGGACACATCAGACCTCTGTAACAAAATTATACTATGTTTCAATAGGGAAAAAAAAAAATCAACCCCCTATTATTATTTCATTCTAAAACATAAAATCAAAAGGAAACTACAGATGTACTGAAGTTCTTCCTGAAAACTAAATAGCAATGATTTGTTTTTCCAGCAGCCTGTCTGAAAAATAATTTTTTCTTGTTACAGTCTTATTTTCTATATATCACAAGAAAAAAACTCAAAATTTGCAACTATAGTTCATATTCTAAAAATACATCTTACCCACAATGAAAGTAGATATCAGGGTTTCGACAGATGATCATATTCTACCCAAAAAATTAAAATCATCAAATTTTAAGTGAGAAAAGGGTATTAAAAAATTCATACAGATTATCTTTGGAAGGCCCCCTAAGAAACCTACTAATGAATTAACTAGGTGATATGGAAACAATGATAAAGATATACTTTACACTGAAATTTCATTTTGTACCTTTTGAAATTGGAGCCACATGCATTTTAAATATATATGTATTTATTATTTTATTAATTCCTTATAAATCATTGAGGAAATCCAAAGAAGTCCTCATTCCCAGAGGAGAAAATTGAGGCCAAAGAAGTAGATAACCTGCTTAGGATCATACTGCCAAATGGTGGAAGAGCTGAGACTACAACTCAGGAATTCAGCGAAAGCTTCCAGTGTTTCCCCCTAACCATAATGCTAAGCGGTGAGACAGAGAGTGCCATCTCACAACTAAGAAAGGTATTACTATAACCCTTCTCAGAATTGTGATCTTCCAGAGGTCCTGGTGATTCATACTAATCATTAATGTTTTCCTGGAAATTCTAAGGCAAAGGGAGAGATATGACAATCTTCTTTACCAAGACTCCTACCAAGTGAGTTACTACAGACAGCACATGGAGTAAAATGCAGAGTGTGCCTTCTCTCAGATATAAGTGGAGTCAAGCTTTAACCATGCCAGAACAATTTGGAAGCATTCATTATTACTAGTAGTATGAATGTCCGATGAGACAAAAGAGATTTAGTAGTACAAAGACTTTATTCCTTGTGAACTGACTCAGAGGAAATAAAGCAAGAGCAGCCTATAGGAAATTCTAGTTTGAACAAAGACTTAATTCCACTATAGAGCTGTGCTCCAACAGGAGAACTAAGAGTGATTATGACCACCTCTATTCCTAAAACCTTCGAATACTGACAAGCAAGGCAGCTTCGACTCCTCTGAGTAATTCAAGCATTCTTTTCCTCTTGGTAAGAGGAAACATTAACTTTTTCTTTCAATGGGCACAAATAAAAGGAAAACTCCAGAGTTTCCACTGGAAAGAGTAAGAGAAGCCAGAAATTAAAACTATCCAAAAAATTTCTAAATCTGCCTGCATGAAATGGAAGGACCTTGGAAAAAAGAAATTTTTACAGGGACTATTTATTCTTTCCTTTCTAGGTCTGTTTGTATCCTTCACATTTTAAGAAATACATGCATGTTAGACATTATTAGGCCTTTACTATAGCTTTGATATTTATCAAACATACTGTAGTCATGTATTAGTTAATTGGAAGTATTTTGAAGCACTAAGTCTGTTTGCCAACAATTAGGTGATCTGGTGAAACATTTCAAATCGAGAACATGAGAAAATAACAAGACTGGCCAGGACATAACTTCCAGCCACAACTACCATTCATATTTTAAAGAGAAATCATGACATATGGATAAACCATAGACCAGGACTTTCTTATATGACTCTGGGTCACAAGGTCATACCACAGTGGGAATCATACCTTCAATTCTCTCACTAGCAAATACCCAGACAGAGAGAGCTGAAGTTACAGCAGGAGCCAACCCCTATCATCTCCAAGGAATCTATAACATAAAATGCATAGCCTTGACAAAGGTCCTGAGTGTTGTTTCAAAACTCACCTCCAATTTTCACTAAATACTTCAGATGTAGGGAAAATATGTGAAGATTATTTGTTGAAATATTTCTACTATGTTGAATATAAATCTGTCTCATGGTAAAATAGTCACATAATTCAAAGAAAAAAAATCACAGGAAAGCTAAAGTTGGATGTTATCCTCACACTGAAAGGAACTAATATGGAAAATTCTATCAATGTATTTCATTGAAAACATTAAACACAACCTGAAGTCAAAAAAGCAAGAGACATTCACTTCCTCTTAGCAACAAATAAGTTAAACAGTAATAGAAGCTCTAACATTACCTAAAGGAGGAGAAACATTTGGTGATTCACAAGTTCCCCTCTGAAGTTAATTTTAAAAATTGAAGAACAGGTTTCTTTAGGAAGTAAAAAGGGGGAAAACTTTAAAATTATACCTTTAAACTTCAGGTCTAATAAACCATAACCCATTTTGCCTCCTGAATCCTAACTTCAGAGTCAATTCCATTTTTTCCCCTCAAAAATCATGAGTCAGGCTGAGTGCCGTGGCTCACACCTGTAATCCTAGCATTCTGGGAGGCTGAAGCAGGAGGATCACTTGAGATCAGGAGTCTGAGACAAGCCTGAACAAAAACCAGACCGTCTCTACTAAAAATAGAAAAATTAGCCAGGTGCCTTGACGGGTGCCTGTAGTCCCAGCTACTTGGGAGGCTGAGGAAGGAAGATAGCATGAGCCCAGGAGTTTGAGGTTGCTGTGAGCTAGGCTGACTCCACTGCACTCTAGCCTGGGCGACAGAGCAAGACTCTGCCTAAAAACAAACAAACAAACAAACAAAAAAACCCCACCAAACAAAAAACCACAAAAAAAAACCCCAAAACTGGTACCCATAAAATTTACTGCTTTAAGCTCATTCAATTAAAACTTATTGAGTACCCACAACTGAACAAATACCATATGAATTCAACCAGAGATGCTGAGTAACGACTTTACCTCCTCTAGCACTTCCATATTTATACTTGTACATGTAGACTTTTTCCTCGACTTGAAAAAAAACGCAGTGAACAAATTTCAGAATATAGCTATCATGTAAACAGAACTTAATGAAAGAGGAAAATGGATATTCTCTACCCCAACGCCTCCTTCCTGACAATTCTTTAAAACTGGTTTAGAATTGCTTAAATGTCTAAATAACAGACTAAATCCTCACACGCCAAATCTTTTTTGCTGAGGTGTGGTAATGGAATAAAAATCGAGGAATACAATTAGCGTGCATGATTTAAATCCTCAGACAATGCCAAAGTTTTAAGCCAATGATTTCACAGAGCTCCCCATTAACTTTTCATTAACCTAGCTAACAAGAACTTGACAGGCTGAGATTTCAGATCGTTTTCTTTCCCAGGCTCTACCGCTGGTGGAGGCAGAAAAGGGGGGCACGGCAGAGAAAGAGGACCACGAACAGGGATATGACACAGTAGCAAACAGACCATCCTGAAAAAGGGATAACTATCAACTCTCGGAAAGCAGAGAGAAGAAAAAGAAGAATCGTTTTGCATTTCCGGCCCTCAGACTGTTCCGTCTTGGCAGCACTGCCTGCCAAAAGCAACGGCATCAGAGCAAATTACTAAATATCACCCACAGCCTTCGGCTTCAACCTCCGGGAAAGACTCCGTCCAGTCTCAGTGGTGGCCCTACTGGGCGGCGCGCGCGGGGCCGGGACAATGCGTTCCCACTGAGGGCCAGGGTTCCCAAGCAGGGGCCCGAGCGAAGAGTCTCTGCCCACGGCGCAGTCTGCAGCCCGCCGCTGCCACCGCTCCCCTTCAAAGACGGGGGTCCCTCCACCGGGCGCGGGGCGAGGACGTCGCCTCCCGCCGCGGCACCAGCCCCGCTCTCCGCCCCCCGCCCTCCGCTCGCGGCCGAGACCTCCGCCTTCTCGCTTCGTCCCTCGGTCTCCCTCAAGCGGAGGCCAGCCACCAGCCCCCGCTGACCTGTCCCCGCGGGGTCCGAGTCGGTAGCGCGAGGCCTCCATGCCGCTGCGCGGTCACCGGCGACCACGTCCAGACCCCCAGACGCCGCCGCTAGGTGGCAAGTCTGGCCGGCCGCCGGGCCCCGCCCCCTGGCAACCACACCCCGCACTGTCGCCGCCGCCTATTGGCCCGTGAGCCCGCCGCTCCTGCCTCATTGGCTATTGCCCCCACTCCGAGATGCGGGAGGGTTTCTAAGGGGCGGGAGGAGGCCGGAGTTAAAGGCGCCTGCGCCGGGCGGGGAAGACGCGCGGCGCCTGGGTTGGGTCTCCTGGATCTTGGCGCCGAGCAGGGGCTGAGAACGGCAGGATGTGTGTGCTTCCGCTGCGCCTGTTCCCGTGGCCTGCTGGCGCGTCCGTCGGAGCCGCCCATCCCCCACCACTGCCACACACCGGGCGGGTCCTCGCACCCCCGCCATTTGCTCGGAGACCACCCAGAGCGCTTCCTGAGGTCTGTCGTGTAAGCGTTTACACACCTCTGCCTCCTTCACTCTCCCCTTCCCTGTTACCCGGGGCCTTGCTGGAACCACAGTGGTACCCTGTCCAGCAGCCACTCCCAGGGAAACGCATCTTGTACGGCCTGGCCTCGCCCTGGAGCTGCGCAGAACTGATGCAGCCTGTCCTACTCCGGCCCAATCTGTTACGTTATTCCTACGTTATCCGCTCCTAGAGCACACCAGGGCATTCAGAGACACCATCCATCCTTCTCTCGGATTCCTGTGGACCAACTTCAAACATCCATGGCCCATAATGAGATCTACTATCTAAATCTGTACTCTTTCCAATAAATCCTGTCCCCAACTGCCAGTTCCTTTCTTTTCTTTTCTTTCTTTCTTTTTTTTTTTTTACTAACATGAGTCTATGAATGCCTGTTTGGCCAGTTCCTTTCTATACACGTATCACTGTAGTCCCTACAGAACAACCTAACAGGAGTTACTGCATATTGACTTTATAGCATTTCAAGGTCAAAGTTTGTTTCTACATTGGTTTTGAACCCAGAAGTTAATTTTTTAGGAGGCATAGAAGTTGGCACAAGCTAGGCGACCAGGGCATTGCCTTCACTGGGTCAACTTCCACTCACTGTGTGACCCTGAACATGGTTCATTCTGTGTTTGAATTCCCATCTATCACAGTGATCCCTGCTTGATCTAGCTTGGGCTGGACCTGACTCAGTCGGTTTTTAAATGCTAAATGAATGGGGATGAATAAGATGCTATTTGTATCGGCAAAAGTACAATTGAGACAGTTTGTTGACTTGGCAGTCCTTCTGCATTAATTACAATAAGAAGTGGTATTCTTTGAAAACTTTCCACATTTATTTACGTGCAATTTAAACAGTTACTATAAGAAACTGTTCCTATCCTACTAATATTTACAAATTTATTTGATTGGAAACAAAACACAAGCAAACCTAAGAGACTCATCTATGTCCCCTTTATCTCCCCTGATCCCATGTAGTCCCTAAAGCAGGGCTTGCTGCCCTTTCTTCATCTTTCCTTTTCAGCAGGTAAGCCAAGGTTGCAGAGGTGGCAGTCAACCAGAAAAAGTCATGGTTTGCTTTGATTTTTTTTCCACCCGTCAAGTCACAGAAGAGGCTGCCATTGAGCCTGATGGAATTATGGAATGAGGCCGGCACACCCGTAATCCTAGCACTTTGGGAGGCTAAGGTGGGAGGATCACTTGAGGCAAGGAGTTGGAGACCAGCGTGGGAAACGGTGAGACTATCTCTACAAAAAAAAACAAAAAAAGTTAGCTGGGCATGTTGGCATGTGCCTCTATAGTCCCAGTTTCTCGGGATGCTGAGGTGGTAGGATCACTTGAGTTTGAGGTTGCAGTGACCTATGATGATACCACCACACTTTAAGCTCAGGCAACAGAAATAGACCCTGTCTCAATTGAAAAAAAAAAAAATATGTGGGCCAGGCACAGTGACTCATGCCTGTAATCCTTCCACTCTGGGAGGCTAAGGTGGGAGGAGAGCTTGAGGTCAGGAGTTCAAGACTAGCCTGAACAAAAGTGAGGCCCCAGCTCTACTAAAAATAGGAAAAAAATAAAAAATATGTGTGTGTGTGTGTATGTGTGTATATATATATATATATATATATATATAATGTGGAAAGAATTAGTTTGAGTGAGATGATTAAAGGATTAATGAGTAGTGGTTTAAGTTAACAGCTAAGAAAGACCTTTTGTGGATGGGGCAATATTGCTGCATTGACAGAAGCAGAGTTCTCTAAAAACTTTCTGCAACCATTTATTTACATACATTTTAAACAGTTAACACGAGAAAAATATGAAGTGAACAGTTCACAGCACAGGGTATCTTAAAAAGCAAATCTGGGAATTAAATTCCCTTATGGGTCCTTGCCTGCGAGAGTGGCCACTGTGTTGGTGCTCTGGGGCTTGGACCCTGGCTAGCCAGAAAAAAAAAAAATAAAAATAAAAAAAAATAAATTCCCTTATGACTCCAGGGCTCTAGTTAAAATAGTTTTTTCTATTGGTATTGTTTCCATTTTATTTTATTGATATACTCTTGAGAGCCAGAAAAGTGACTTTAGCAACTCTATGAAAATCAGCAATTTCTGGAGACTATTGATGAAAGAGGTAGTCAGTTTTTCACAAGGAACTGGCTTCTGCTCAGCTTCCCTCGCTTCCGGAGGTAAGCAAGCAGGTGCTGTCGTCTCCTCCACGTGACTTTTATTCCATACTTATTCTCAGGGGTGTCTTTAACCAGAATGGGCCCCGGCTCTGGGCTGCTAGCAGTAGTAGTGTGAAGGGAGCAGCTTGGAAGGCTATTTTCCTTCTGATCGGGGGGAACAGGTTCTTCCTTCACAGAAGAGGACTCTGGGGTCTGGATATCAGGAGGAATGAACACATAAGGTAAACTCTGAAGTGTATGTACTGACAGGTCCCCACAACTTTGGGGACTGAGCATTGGAACTAAGGGTCCTCTGGAATTGTCCTTTTCTGATTGATTGGGGTACTCCTTGATTAAGGGGATCTCCAGTGTCTCTGAAATGGAAGAAGATTGTGGACTCTCAAAAGTTAGATGTGGAAACTTGGAGGTGGTAGATTTTCGACTTGAATGTCTTGGCTGGTCTCGGTAATGACGTTTCCGGTAGTCTGGGAACTGGGTTTCTGCTGTTGTATCAAACTCAGGTGATATCTAAGCGTTGAAAAAAAGAAAAAAAAAAAATGTGAGGCAACCCAACTACCAAGTACTAACCAAACAGAGAAAACTACGGCCAGAATCCTAAATGGGGCCCCACTATAGTAATGGACACACACAATAAAATAGCTATCTAATGGCATAGTAATAGAAAGCTTTGAGCAAATTATTCCATCTCTCTGGTCTTCTGTTTCCTGATCTGTAAGAAAGGGGACAGTGCCTCTTTCAATGTATCACACCATATGGCTGCAACTTATTTAACTATCTTTAAACTTAAGGAGGGCAGGGACCAGCAGTCTTATTCACCATTGATCCCCAGTACCTAGCAGATGCCTGGGACAAAGAAGGCCTTCAGGAAATAATGAATGGCTGACTCTAACAATAGGGGTGAGATCATGTACAAAAAGCAACTAGTAGAGGACCTGGCACGTAATGAGTATTCAATAAATGTTCATTCCTGTTCTCACCCACAGGATTCTAATGTTTAAGTTTCTTCCACAATCCTGAAGCAAGTATTGTGGTTCTTCTAAGAAGTCCTGAACAAGTTATATTTATTAAATAGATTTATGCAGAGCTAATGCTTTTGTATGGCCCTTTTGCTACACTATTTCCCTACCATATAGTAGTTATATTCTCTTCCCAGGGCTTTTAAACTGTGTGGTGGTTCACTGGGGGACAGTCAGAAACGTGGGAAGGGCACCCTAAGGGAGAGGGGGACACCAGGCTTTGTGGCAGGGGAAAGTGACTAGCTGCCCTTCGTTGTCAGCCAGGGACAAGGACACAGCCATGCTCCCACCCATCTGCCCATGATCACTCGGCGGCAGCGATGTCTGCTGTCAGCACCTGAGGCCTGCGGGCCACCTACCACCGGCTCCCCGACAAAGTGGAGCTAATGCTGCCTGAAAAATTGAGGCCATTGTACAACCACCCAGCAGGCCCCAGAACAGTTTTTTTCTGGGCTCCAATTATGAAATGGGGGTTGGTGTGTGCTGGATTGGCTGACATGGCCAGACCTGCACAGCTCAATCTGCTGTTTTAATGGCTACAGGGTTTATTTGGTTAAGATATTCACTTGTAATTATTCTAAAAAATTGGAGTCTGTTTGCTGTTAATTTCTTTGTGGGGGCAGCAGGAGCCCCCTCAGCTTTTTCGAATTTGGAGATATAACCAAGAACTAAAAGCAAAAGCAAACAACTGAAAGAGTTCCTGATGTCCTGAACACTCTAGATATGAACATAACCACTGGAACCTAGTTTATTGTTTGATTCTAGATAAGGCAATGTTAACTATGCTGATACTTGGAAGGCACAAAAAAATCTAACTGTGCCTGATTCAACAGTAAAATAAAGCAAACTTTTAATAACCAAAAAAAAAAAACAAAAAACTGAAAATATAACATATGCCATAGTTGTAGATTTTTTTTCAAGGTTCAATCCATTGAACAGTAAATAGAGTACCTGCCTAAATATTCCACTTTCACATGAAATTTAAGGAACAAACATTTTTTACTTGTTCTCACACGTCTTGTTTTCTTACCCAGTTACTGAGTGAAAAACTTTTACACTGAACTTTTTCAGAGGGATGGAGGTGGGAAGGAGAGACAGGACTCCAATCCCATCTAAGCTGTTCCTCAGTCTGAATTGAGAAAAGAAGATAGATACACCAGAGGGCTAACCACAGACAAAGAGTACATTACCTCCTTGCCCCTGCCCCACAAATCTTCTTAGTCTTTGGAGGCCCTGGTTCAAGGGACAGAAGAGTCAGCATGCAGGAAAGTCTACCAGAGTAAAAATCAAAGTAAGAATCCCATGGGCCTACCCAAGTAGTGATGGTGCTGTGGTCAATGGGCTTGCTAGGCACCTGTCGAGTGTGAGTGATGGGAAGCTGTGGTGATCCATAGCGGTGTTTGGGGCCCTCCAGTGGTTGATGGTGGAATAGCAGCTGGGCTTTCTGGGAACGTGGGGGCCGTTTTTTTCTGGGAGGCATCAATAGGTGAATGAAGAGCAGTTAGTAACCACATGATGCTGTTTGTCTTCAGGTTGTGAAATACGTTCCAATTTTAACCTATTCCTGCAAAGAAAAAACAAAAGCTGGGAGAAAATAATTCAGATGATTCCTCAGCTCTTCCTGATCATTTGCCAGCCAATTCTACCATAAACTACCACTTTTACCTCAAGGTTCTGGGGAGCACAGCTTTCTTTCTTTCTTTCTTTCTTTCTTTTTTTTTGAGACAGAGTCTCATTTTGCTGCCCAGGCTAGAGTGAGTGCCATGGCATCAGCCTAGCTCACAGCAACCTCAAACTCCTGGTCTCAAGCAATCCTCCTGCCTCAGCTTCCTGAGTAGCTGGGACTACAGGCATGCGCCACCATGCCCAGCTAATTTTTTTGTATATATATTTTTAGTTGGTCAATTAATTTCTTTCTATTTTTAGTAGAGATGGGGTCTTGCTCTTGCTCAGGCTGGTCTCAAATTCCAGAGTTCAAACGATCCACCTGCCTCGGCCTCTCAGAATGCTAGGATTACAGGCGTGAGCCACCATGCCCGGGCGAGCACAGCTTTCTATACCTACACAGTATTCATATTTAACAACATTCATTCAATTAACATTTACTAGTATGTGTTAAGTGTCATGCTGGGTGCTGGGAATTTAAAGATGAATAACCATTTATTCAACACTCATTTATTAAGTGTCAAGCATGTGTAGTGACACAGCAGAATCTGTCTTCAAGGAGCTGAGAGTCTCGCAGAGGGAGACAGATAATTACAATACAATATGAGAATACAATATACTTCCATTCTCTTCAGGGATGCTTTCTGGAAAGGGAGATACCTGACTTAGGTTTGGAAGGGCTAGGACAAAAATACACTCCAGCCTGGGGAACAGCACATAAAAAGGCATGGAGACATGAAGGAGTACTGTGAATTCTGGGAATTACAAACTCACTGTAGCTGGATACAGAGTATGAAAAGATGAATGGCAAGCACTGAGGCTGAACATGGTGTTAGAGTCAGGTCAAAAAAACCAGGTGAGGCCATGTTAGTTTGGACTTTAGCTTTGAAGATTTTCAAGCAGAAGGATGTGATCACACTTGGCGTTTTTTCCTTAATTTTTCACCCTTGATAATTTTGAACATACATACACAAAAATAGACTGAATAACATAATAGGCCTCCATGTCCTCATCATCCAGCTCCAACAACAATTGACCCATGGCCAATCCTGACCCATCTATACACCTATCTACTTCCCCTACCCCTGGATTTCGAAGGAAATATATTCTCATTTTATCATTCCCATTAACACAACTAAATAAATTAAACATACGTACACACACACACACACACACACACACACACATATATATAAATTCCTTGATATTATCAAATACCCAGGCAATGTTTACATTTTCAGTTGTTTCATAAATGCCATATTTGTTTTATTTGTTTGTGTCTTTTAGACAGAGAATCCTGGCAGTAGTACAAAAGAGAGAACAAGTACCCTGGAAGTAGGGGGACCAGTTTAGAGATCAATATGTCATCTGAGTGAGAAATAATGGGGTCCCAAATCTGAGCTGTGTCAGTGGAGATAGGAGGATAAGACAGAGGCAGGTTAACAGGACCCAGAACGTAACAAAAGTCTGAAAAAGTGTCCATTGGATCTAGTAACAAGATTAGCTCTAATAAGGGCTTCTTTGATGGAATGATGGGACACAGGGCTGATGCAATAGGTAGAAGGGTAAATGGGAGGTACAGCTGAGCATGCTGGAAAGTCACATAACAGTACAAATTGGTTCCACAATACATTCATGATTCAGTCATTCAGTCAACATCCACAAAAAATAATATACTGACTTATATGAGTAGGCAGTTGTGATACAGGTAAAGGAAAAAAAAAAGGTCGGGTGCAGCGGCTCACGCCTATAATCCTAGCACTCTGGGAGTCTGAGGTAGGAAGATCGCTTGAGGCCAGGAGTTCAAGACCAGCCTAAACAAGAGAGACTATCCCTACAAAAAATAGAAAAACTAGCCAGGCATGGTAGCACTGCCTGTAGTCCTAGCTACTTGGGAGGCCAAGGCAGGACGATCACTTGAGTCCAGGAGTTTGAGGGTGCAGTGAGCTGTGATGATGCCACAGCACTCTAGCTTGAGATCCTGTCTCAAGAAGAGAGAAGAGGCCGGGCGCGGTGGCTCACGCCTGTAATCCTAGCTCTCTGGGAGGCCGAGGCGGGCGGATCATTTGAGCTCAGGAGTTCGAAACCAGCCTGAGCAAGAGTGAGACCCCCGTCTCTACTATAAATAGAAACAAATTAATTGGCCAACTAATATATATAGAATAATTAGCTGGGCATGGTGGCACATGCCTGTAGTCCCAGCTACTCAGGAGGCTGAGGCAGGAGGATCGCTTGAGCCCAGGAGTTTGAGGTTGCTGTGAGCTAGGCTGACTCCACAGCACTCTAGCCTGGGCCACAAAGTGAGACTCTGTCTCAAAAAAAAAAAAAAAGAGAGAGAAGAAAGAAGAAGGAAAAAGGAAGAAGGAGGAAGAGGAAGAAGAAAGAAGAAGGAAAGAAAGAAGAAAAAGGACAAAGTCTATACCCTCAAGGATCTAACATTTTAGGGAGAACCAAGGTAATAAATACATCCATTTTTTCATTCATTCATTCATTCATTCATTCATTCACTCAAGAGATACTTACTGAGTGCCTACTATGTGTTATGCACCATTCCCGGTACTGAAAATATATACCAGAGAACAAAATCAAATCAAATCACTGCCTTCATGGTGTTTACACTCTAGTTGGGAAATAATAAAAGTATGGAGAAAAATTAAACAGGACAAGGGGTTGAGCTGACTGAGTGCTATTTTAGACAGGGTTGTCAGGAAATACCGACCTGAAGAATTGGTATTTGAGCAAAGACCTGAATGAAGAAAGGAGAATAAACAAGCAATGGGATTACAGGAAGGAGGAATATTCCAGGCTAAGAGAATAGTAAGTGCAAAGTCTCCAAGGTGGGAATATGTCTGACCTGTTCAAGAAACAGTAAGGACATTGTGGAAGCAGTTCAAATGACACATGGTTAAGGACTATAGATTTAATTATTCTTAGAGTGATAGGAAGCCACTGAAAAGTTCTGGACAGGGAAGGAACACAATCTGATTTATACTTTTAAAAGAAACTCTAGGTGGACACTGTGTGAGAAAAGCTGGTTGAGGAGATGGGGGGTGGATAAAGGAAGCAGGGTACCCAGTTAGAAGGCTACTGAAAGAGTCTAATGGAGAGATGACTGTGGTAGCAATGGCTATAGTGAGAAGTGTTGAAATTCATGACTTACTGAAAGTCACCAGCCTCAAATGGGCACTGTAATGCTCAGTAATCCTACTGTTTCCTTGATCAATTCATTTTCCACAACGGCTATCTTAAAACTATTCCACTTTCTTAAAACTTCAGAAACCCCTTTTTACTCAACAAATGGCCTTACTTCCTACTTGACAAACAATACAAAGGACAGAAGACATCAAAGGAAATAGTCTTATTTTCCAGAGATCAAACATACAAACCTATATATATCTGCATACATCCTCTTTCTTTCTGCTCTTATTAGAGGTCAGTCCATTCTGCTATCTAAGGCCTTCCCTTCTGGCTGTGCTTTGGAGTCATTCTCACTCTATACACTTTTCTTAGGCAATCTCATCTGTTGGCATTTCAAGTACAGGACTTCAGTATTTAGATATTCATCTTAGAATTCTCTAAGCTCAAGATCCATATATCCCACTGCTTACTTGATAGCAACTACATGTCTCAAATTCAACATGTTCAAAACTGAACTCATGATCCATCATTCCCTCAGGATCCCTACCCCCTACCTGCAGCCAAAGTGATTCTCTTCCAGGGCCCTGGAAAGAAATGGCATCATTCCTTCAGTTATGCACCAAAAACCTTGACATTTCCCTCAGCCATCCAACCCAATATCAAGCCCTGTCAGTTTTACCTCTTAAACATGTCTTCAATAAAGCCCTCCTCACTCTTCCTCCACTCTCTCCCCACCAACCTTCTTCAAGTCCTAGCAATTCTTGCCTAGAGTATTGCAACAGCCTAAATGGTCAACCCTAATCCACTCTGGCACCCCCTGCTGAGGGACCTTTTAAAATACAAATCTGGGCCAGGCACGGTGGCTCTGGCCTATAATCTTAGCACTCTGGAAGGCTGAGGCGGATAGATGGATGGTTTGAGCTCTGGGGTTCAAGACCAGCCTGAGCAAGAGCGAGACCCCTTCTCTAACAAAAATAGAAAGAAGTTAACTGGACAGCTAAAAATATACAGAAAACATTAGCCGGGCATAGTGGCACATGCCTGTAGTCCCAGCTAATCGGGAGGCTGAGGCAGAAGGATGGCTTGAGCCCAGGAGTTTGAGGGTGCTGTGAACTAGGCTGACGCACGGCACTCACTCTAGCCTGGGCAACAAAGTGAGACTGTCTCAAAAAAATAAAAAATACAAATCTGACCAGGACTCACTTCCACTTAAAGTTTTGATTGGCTTCCTTTAATTTTTGAATAAGGACAAAACTCTTCAGTATGGCTAAGGCCGGGCTTCCTCTGGCTCCCGCTTCAACTATACCACACTCCATTCAGGTCTCTTAGCCCAGCTTTGTGTCACCATGCTTTCTTCTGCTACACAGCCTTTGCAGACATGATTCCATCTGCTTAAGAGTGTTTCCCTCCCTTTTTTGTAAAAGGCATCAGATATCACACCAAAGCTTCAGCTCATCAGAAAAGCCTTTCCTGTGCTCGCTTCCGCAGCACATATACTAAAATTGTAACGATACAGAGATTAGCATGGCCCCTGTTATTTCTTTTTTTGAGACAGGGTCTCACTTTATTGCCCAGGCTAGAGTGAGTGCCATGGCGTCAGCCTAGCTCACAGCAACCTCAAACTCCTGGGCTCAAGCAATCCTGCTGCCTCAGCCTCCCGAGTAGCTGGGACTACAGGCATGCGCCACCATGCCCGGCTAATTTTTTCTATATATATTATTTGGCCAATTAATTTCTTTCTATTTATAGTAGAGACGGGTCTCGCTCTTGCTCAGGCTGGTTTTGAACTCCTGACCTCGAGCAATCCACCTGCCTCGGCCTCCCAGAGTGTTCTTTCTAAGTGTTCTTTCTAAAAAGAAAAAAAGAAAAAGAAAAGAAATGCCTTTCCTGTCCTACCTAATAACTCCTTAATGTGACCTCTAATTTGTCAGGTCACAGTTATATTTCTACATTTGCTTATTTGATTCTTTGAAAATGTTCTTCTCTCCCTCCATTAGACTGTAAGCTCAGGGGAAGGAAAATCCTGTCTGCCATTGTATCTTCAGGGCCTAGCAGTGCCTGGCACATAGTAGCTCAACAAGATCTACTGAACAAGTAAATAAATAAAGCACTTTATTATAGCTAAAGGCATGGCTTTGGGAGGGGAGCAAAAGACAGGTCAGTACTTGAAGACTGTGTGTATTTTTTTTAAGATGGAATAAACTTGGAACAAGATCACCGCGGTCCTCAAGGAACTCGGTCTAGTCGGGAGACAATCGTTAACTGGGGAACAACCTCCCGCAGGAAAGACTTCAACTAAGACAGACCAGTGACGGGGTAGAAACCCAGGGAGGCAGGGGCGTGTCGCCGGTCGGGCGGGAGGGAAAGCAGGCCGAGGGAGCCGGCCGGCCGGCGCCGTTTCCGCGCGTCCCCAGACTGTCCCTGCGCCCACCCAGCCCGGCCGCGGGGGCCCCTCTGGCTCGTCCCCGACCCCCACAGCCGCCTCTCCCCCCACGAGCCTGCCTGCGGCCCGCCTTACCCGCCCCGCAAGGCCCGGCCGCCGCTCCTGTCAGGGCGCAGAGCGTTCCAGCCCGGAACGCGGAGACAAGGCCGGCGCCGATTGGCGACGCTCCGTCACGTGACCGCAACGCTCCGCCGGCGCCAATTTCAAACAGCGGAACAAACTGAAAGCTCCGGTGCCGGACCCCACCCCCGGCCCCGGGCCGGGACCCCCTCCCCTCCCGGGATCCCCCGGGGTTCCCACCCCTCCCGCACGGCCGGGGACCCGGCCGGCCCGGCGCGAGTCCCTGTCCGGGGCCCAGGCTTGGCCCCAGGTTGGAGGAGCCCGGAGCCCGCCCTCCGAGCCACAGCCCGGCGGCGGCGGCGGCTGCAGTCTGGAGGTGAGCGGGGAGCAGGAATGGAGTCCGAGGCCCGGCCTGGCCGGGGGCAGGGGGCAGGGGCTCGGGCGCCGCTCCGCAAGTCCTCCGGGCGCGGAGGTCACCACATGTAGCAGTGGGGCCCTGGCCACGAGTGGAGATTTGGGGCCACACGGGAAGGCGGTCGGAGCGAGAGGGTGCACATTTTCTCTGCATCCAACCTCCTGGTCTTGCCTTCTCACTTCCTTCTCAAAGCACCCTTGCTCCTTCCCTGGAAGTTTGACCTCTGCACCCTGCCCACAAGCTCGGGAGGGCTGGGGTGGCCTGCTTTCTTAGTGCGGACTTGGCTGGGATGAACACTGAGCTTGTTCTGCATTGATTCAAAGACCAACCCGCACATACACTCCCCTACTCCCAGGCGCTCTCACCGCTAGGCAACACTGCCTCCATCCTACTCTTTTGCAGGGCCTCTCTCCTGATTCCAGAGAATAGCAAGGTTTTCCTGTTTAGGATGGGGGTGGGGTCAGAAGAGTCACTCTGGAAGTCTTCCGGGCCAGAAAGAGTTGGCAGTAATAAGAGGCTGGTCAGGAAATAGAAGAGAAAATTAAGACTTAGATATTCTATGGAAAAAGAATATTATCTATTGATTGATGAGGGGAGGGAAGGAAGCCTGGAGAGATAAGAGGTGAAAGTAAAACTGAGATTTGCAAGTAGAAGAAACACAGATATAAAGAAAAAGGAGGCTGCAGGGTGGGGAGTGCCTGTGAACTTCAAGTGGATGGCAAATGTTAAAAAAGTGCGGTCATTTGAGGGGAGGTAGTAAATATCCTAAAAAAGAAATAGCCAATTCCTCTGTATCTCAAAGTACCTCAAAATAGGATTATACAATTATATTTAGTAGTAGTGTTCCATGTATCTATTAAAATCAACAAAGCATGCTTAGAAAGTAAATTATGTATAACCACATGCGAGTACTAAAATGGCATTATATAAATATATTGCAACTTGTGAAAGAAAATATACTTTTTTGAGACAGGGTCTTGCTCTGTTGCCCAGGCCAGAGTGCAGTGGCACAATCATAGTGCACTGCAGCCTCCAACTCCTAGGCTCAAGTCATCCTCCTGCCTCAGTCTCCTGAGTAGCTGGGACTACAGGAGCATGCCCCCACACTCAGCTAATATTTTCTTATGTTTTGTAGATGCCTAGGCTGGATCTTGAACTCCTGGCCTCAAGCAATCCTCCCGCTTGGGCCTCCCAGAGTGCAAGGATTATAGGTGTGAGCCACCGTGCTGGGCTCCTCTTTCCCCTTTTGAATTGCTTCTGTTTGCTGTAATTTTAGCTTTTTTTTTTTTTTTTTTTTTTTATCAATAGGGCTCATCTTATTGACTGAGTTCTTTTTAGAGGCTCAGGGAGCATTCACCTGGGCCTTTGGCTCATGCACCTAGCCATATAAAGAGGAACACCTTTCAGTTTAACAAATCTGACATCTGCTCCTCCTTGCACTTTTCAGGGTCCATGCTTGTGATTCTCAATGGAGAGTGAAAACATAGATTCATAATGAAAACCAGCCCCCCGTCGGCCACTGATTCTCAAAAGACGGAGGCTGCCCCTTCCTGTTCAAAATGCCTCAGGTGAAACATCAGAGGAAGAACCTAAGAGGGTCCCTGCCCGACAAGACCCTAGTCAAGCACAGGCCTCCAAGGAGGTGGCGGAGTCAAACTCCTGCAAGTTTCCAGCTGGGATCAAGATTATTAACCATCCCACCATGCCCAATACCCAAGTGGTGGCCATCCCCAACAATGCCAATATCCAGAGCATTATCACAGCATTGACTGCCAAAGGCAAAGAGAGTGGCAGCAGTGGGCCCAACAAATTCATCCTCATCAGCTGTGGGGGAGCCCCAACTCACCCTCCAGAACTCCAGCCTCAAGCCCCAAACCTGCAATGATGCTAAGAAGACAGAAGTGATCACTGAGGCGCTGGGACCAAAACCTGCAGCTAGGGATGTGAATCTTCCTAGACCACCTGGAACCCTTTTGGGGCAGAGATGGGAGAGCTGTGGTATGTGGTCTGCAAGACAAGGGGTTGGGAGCACAGCCTTTCCTCTCAGGTAGCAAGGTCTGCAGTTAGTCCTATTGCTTGCAACAGACAGGCATCTAGCCTGAGGCAAGGGAAAGTCTTTTTTCACCCTGAAACTTTGACCTGGATACTTTGTGGTATTGTTGAAAAGGTTACAGTTATAATTTAGCATTTCTATTGTCTTCTTTATATTGGAAAAGGAGTTATTATTTCTTTCTTTTTTTTTTTTTGAGACAGAGTCTCGCTTTGTGCCAGGCTAGAGTGGACGTGCCGTGCGTCATGCGGTAGC